GAAACGCCTTGCTCTGTTGATATTCTGGTCGGAGTTAGAAACGGACTTTCTTCTTTGTCCTTATCAGGCAGTGCCCTCCCCTCCCCCACACCTTTATGGGGCGGGGGTTGGGGGGGGGGGATCAGCAGCAGCTCTGGGCCCTTGGGAGGCGCCTGCAGGCTAGGGAAGCAAGGGCGCTGTTCCCGGAAGCGGAAGCATGTGGATTACACATCAGCGCTTGGGGTGCTTATGCCTAATGCGCTTGGAAGCCTGGGGGGTCTGGGGGCAGCAGGTTACCCTGGATCAGAAGTAAGTTTTGAGGAGGCCCTGGGAAGAGCCTGCCTTCCACGGTCTTCCCCTTGCCTGTCCTCTGGTTTGTGCCTTCCGAGAGCCTCTTTCTTAGAGGGTCTGGTCTCCAACTGACATTCTTCAAGTCATTCCGTCCCATTTTACAAAGTCAGAAGATCGAATTCTTTTGGAGTGTCTCTCAGGGCAATTGAAGATGCGCTAGAGAAGACCATAAAATGCTAAAAATCGTTTGTCTCTTTAAGTTCTCATAATTCGAATGTGCTCAGTAGGTAATCACATGGGCTATACTTTATTTTAAGATTTTATTCATTTATAGATATATTTAGAAATTTATTTAAAAACATATACATTTATATAAATTTATAAAAACATTTATAAGTATTATAAACATGTTTATTTTGAGAGATGGAGAGCACGAGCAGGGGAGGGGCAGAGAGAGAGAGGGAGAGAGAGAATCCCAGGCAGGCTCACGAACCACGAGATCATGACCTGAGTCAAAAACCAAGAGTCAGACGCTTAACCGGCTGAGCCACCCAGGCGCTCCTGAATTATTCTTTCTCAGTCTCTCATTTATGGGTCCCAAAGTGTTATCAAAAGGCTACAACCAACGTACTCTTTTGTACAGAACCTTTAAAGGAGCCAGCTGAAAATAAATAAAAACCAAAGAGCCAGCTGAGTGCTCTGTGTAGTTTCTTGTTTCAGTTTTTGGTGGAGAAGGGCTAGTAAGGAGAAGAGTTGTCCTCTGTGTTTCTGTAAAACACTCTTTTTTGTATCTTTTTATTTCTGTGGCTACTTCCTCCTCATAACAGTATTTACGATCGATGATGATTTCATTTCTTAAATGGCTTTTCCAGTTCATTATACTGTTGATGAGACGTCTTTCATGCAGCTGATTCAGCACTTTTCCCAGGCTGTCCCCTGGCAACTAGCTTGTGCCGTGCTGGGCTTTTTTTTTTTTTTTTTTTCAACGTTTATTTATTTCTGGGACAGAGAGAGACAGAGCATGAACGGGGGAGGGGCAGAGAGAGAGGGAGACACAGAATCGGAAACAGGCTCCAGGCTCCGAGCCATCAGCCCAGAGCCTGACGCGGGGCTCGAACTCACGGACCGCGAGATCGTGACCTGGCTGAAGTCGGACGCTTAACCGACTGCGCCACCCAGGCGCCCCCGTGCTGGGCTTCTAAAGATACTTTTTTTGGGGGTTAATGTTTGTTTATTTTTGAGAGAGTGAGTGCACGGGAGGGGCAGAGAAAGAGGGAGACACAGAATCCAAAGCAGGCTACAGGCTCTGAGATGTCAGCCCGGAGCTGGACGTGGGGCTTGAACCTACTAACCGTGAGATCGTGACCTTGAGCCGAAGTCAGACCCTTAACCAACTTGAGCTACCCAGGTGCCCCTAAAGATACTTTAAAGACAAATGTTTTAGTCTTAGAGATGACATTCAAATAGCTGGGTGCCACTCCATGCCACTTTCTTTATACACTTTGACTGATTTATTTACATGCATAGCCACACATACACAGACTTTAGGGAAAGCGAGGTATGCTTTGTTTCATTGCACAAATGGGGCTTTCTTAAAGCAGTTCAGTTGTAACACTAGCTCCCTCATCATTAGAGGAATCTGTTAGTAAGAACTGGCCAGATAAGAGTTGATTCTGCACAAACGCTTAGACACATCTAAAGAAATAAACCTTGTGGAGTATGGGGTAACTTTGTTTTTTATTTTTATATTTTTTTAAGTTTATTTTTTTTAAAGGTAACACATATGCTTTATTTTTTTTTTAATGTTTATTTATTTTTGAGACAGAGAGAGACCAAGTGGGGGAAGGGGCAGAGAGAGAGAGAGGGAGACACAGAATCCGAAGCGGGCTGCGGTCTCTGAGCTGTCAGCACAGACCCCGACACGGGGCTTGAACCCACAAACTGTGAGATCATGACCTGAGCCGAAGTCGGACGCTTAACCGACTGAGCCACCCAGCTGCCCCTAAGTTTATTTTTTATAAGAGGGGTTTATTCATTTTTGAGAGAGAGAGGGAACGCCTGGGGGAGGGGCGGAGGGGAACAGAGGATCCAAGACAGGCTCTACCCTGACAGCAGAGAGCTCAGTGCAGGACTTGAACTCCCAAACCGTGAGATCATGATCCGAGCTGAAGTCAGATGCTTACTTAACCAGCCGAGCCACCCAGGCACCCCTCGGGTAACTTTAAATAGAATGTTTTTGAATCCTAAAATTATTTAAGACAAAATTTAGTCAAGCGATATTTTCTCATCTCAGCCTCTAAAGTCTACTGACTTCCATTTTCTTTTCAAAGCATATAATAAAACATTTAAAAATTTAATAACTTATAGTATCAATGTTAATTTTTTTCCTATTTAGAAGTTCTTGGCCCATGAAAAATCTGACTCCGCTTTCAAAATCTTGATCTCTCAAACGAAATATAAACCATACCCCTGTTAGTACTGCTACCCCCTTAGACAATTTTATTTCCTATATCACAATCTAATGAATATGTGGATTATAATGAATCCTTTTATAGATTCTCTTGAAAAACAAGCCCAAAATAGGAAGAAAAGAGTGAGGAAGATGGGAAGCCAGTGGCGGTATATTTTAAATTATCTTCGGGTGTCTTTTGTATTTTGTTTTTTTAAATGTCTTTATGTTCTACAGGTCACCCATTTAGAGTGTACCGTTTAATGGTTTTTACAATCTTGAACATATTTGATGCATTCTGACTTCTTAGGCCCTGAAATTTCTGTTTACTTACAAAAAGCAGTTTTTATTATGGGGAATTTCAGATACATACAGAGTAGAGCAGAGGAGTATAATGAACCCCAAGTGCCCAATACCCGCCTCCCCTCTGACCAGTCCTTAGTCTTCACCCTCGCTCCTTCGGTGAGGTTATTATGAGGCACACGCCAGACATCGTGTTACTACTTCCGTGAACGTCTCGGTCTCTGTCTACGTAAGATGATTTAAAAAAAAAATGACCATAATCATGTTCACATCAATAGATTTTAGTAATTATTTGGTATTAACCAGTGTTCAAATTTCTAATGTAAAAAATTGTAGTTTTCTTTTATATATTTGCATAGAGTTTTTATTAACTTGCAAGTTGGCAGAAAATTCGGGGTCGTGTTAAATATTTATACAAGATATTTTAATATCTGCTTCAAATAAATTTGTGCCTCTGAAGTAGAATCCCACAGACGCCAAGATCTATTTTACTTCCCATTTTCCTGCACAAAAAAAAGTTCTCTGACCTCTTTTTTGGCAATGTGAGTCTGTCTCTCTGTGGCTTATCAGGAGGAGGCCTCTTCTCTCACTTTTTGTGAATATCTGATTGGTTTGAGACTTCCTGGTCTTTTTCTTACTCTTCTTGTTTGCAGGATTGAGGGAACCTGAACATTCTGTACTGAGGAAACAGAACAGAGGGTTGAATATGGCAGAAGTCCATCTTGCCTTCAGGATGGTGCTCTTATGGTATAAGTAATGCATTCATTTGGGGGTGGAATGGAGTGGGCAGGGGTGGGGAAATTATTAACAGAATTGATTTCCACTTAAGGGTACGAGTATTAAAAAGGAATGGCCGTGGGAACTAAGGCAATTTGTGACTTTGGAGGAAATGACTCGCTTTGGAGAGCACCATTGGACAAGGGAAAGGGACTTCTGTTGGCTGTATAACCCATTAACTGTATCTCCCTAAGAAGTACAGTTTGAATAATAACAGTGTAGGAATAACTGTAGTCATTTAGAGTTCTGTACAGGTCAAATCCCGTTACAACAGATTTCAGTAGGATATCCACATTCCATATTTGTCTTTTTGACAAAGTATCGATATACAGTGTGTCACATTACGGTACTTTTTTTGTTCTTCACTTTCCTTGGCCCCATTCAGCATCCTGATTAACACTGTAGCCAGTTTCCCCCTGCTGCGCTGCTCCGATCAGGGACGCGAGCTTGCCCAGTGCCCGCCAGCTCCGGCCCAGAGGCCATGCCTTGAGCTTCACAGCACGGGAGTGGCCTTCCATCACCCCAACGACAGTGTAATGAGCGCCCCGATTGCTTGGTGCTTTGGGGGAACACTAACAATAAATAAAAGACGGAATCCCTATTCATTAGGAACTTGTAGGCCACTGGGGAGAGAGGAGACGCTAAAGTCAGAGTCTGAGGTAACGGTTCAGTAAGGGGAGTATTTTGGAATTAAGGAAGGAGGAAAGCTTTAACGGTTCCCAGTTACTCCTTCCTAGAGCCCGTCATACCATACGTCACGCTGTCGGCAAACATCTAAAATTATTTCCGTAGCGTTTTCATTTTTGTAGCTTTGATCGTAACGGGATTTCACCTGCAGCATCTTTTCATCAGAGAAACGCAGATTATGCAAATGAAAATATATGTCCTCCATTTGTATTTTTCTGTACTTGGTACAAAATGAACTTAACTGGATGTTAAAGATGTTACCGAATACGTATAAGTGCGAGGTTTTTGCAGATAGCTTCATGAACGTGGGTATTTGTTTACTTTTATATCGCATAAGCCAGCACGTGTACGGTTTGTGCAGAACACACATTAAGACGTCTGTGCACTGTTTCCGTCTATGATGGATGCGAGCCCTGCTTTAAATCACTACAGTTTTTGAATGGTGCTGGAGTAGCTGGTGTTGCTTAACGTGGCATTTTTTTTCCCCTGTCCACACTTTCCACCCTTGGTACAGGTATTTTTGATAAAGCTGTGGAATGGAAAGGTATGTTTTTCACGGGATGTTCCAGAATCTTTTACCTTAAAGTTTTTAAAAAGCCCCCCTGTGGGCTTCCTTCTGTGTCTGGCTTAAGCCGACGTAGTTCAGTGATAACAAGTAACATTTCTGGAGGTGATATTTGAGTATAAAATTTCGACACGATCCTTAAATTTCTGACTTGCTTTTCTCCATCCCCTTATTAAAGATACTGTGAAGGCTTTTACGGCACTTGGGGTGGGGGTGGGGGGGCTTTTAAAACATACGATCTGTGCCTTGAGGAAAGAACTAGCCAGAGAGTCATTTAAGGTCGTTAATGATCTAGTTGTTACTTGCCAGATCCCTGGCTTCCAATAATTTGCAATTTCATTGAGGAAAGTGATACACGGATCCCTTAATCCATGAACTAAGCTTAGGGGCTTTATTAAATTTGCACGACCCTCTTTTTGGCGGAGGAAGAATTCAGATCGAGCCAGGGACAGGCGGAGCGAGCAGGGCCAGTCTGAACGTACCAAGTTGGCAGGCTCGTCGCCCACGTTCGGTGCCACGCTTCCCGCCCGCACGGGGCTTTCTTCTCTGTCCCAGTTCTGTGCTGACCACGACTTGCCCTGGGTGTGTATACACTGCCCGTTCTTGTAGGAAGGAGGCTTCCTCGGGATAGTGTTGCCTTGAAGGAACCGCCTACCTAAATCGGGAGACCACTTGACGGTCGGTCTCGGGAAGGCCTGATTGGAAGAGCGCCCCCTATTGACTTTCCTCGGACAATGAAATTGTGAAAAGGTACAAGGCTGTGGGGTGTCGACAGCACATTCCTTTTCCTGGAAAGAAATGAAGCGATTCCTTGGGTATCAGCATTAGTGTGGGCACTGGTGGGGCATTTTAGCCTGCCGCTGGTGGCTTCAGTGGGTTGAGAAACATTCATTAAAGATCTGTGATGTTTTATAAACCCTGACTGTTCTGGTGGTTGCAAAGTTAGTGTCTGTGTGGTGTTCCCCATCTTACCGGAAGTGTTTGCTTTTTCTCATTCGTAGAGGTCCTGTAATAAAGAGGGATCCGAACAAGCTCAGAAAGAAAATGAATTTCAAGTAAGTAATTAAGTCCGTTCTGCGTCTGTATGAGGTGTAAACAAACCCGTGTTAGCCCACTTTGGCGCTCCGGCCTCGCGGTGCCTCTTTCCCGCCCCTGGACGGCCCTGGTCTGTCGGTCTCGGGGCACGGGCTCTTGCCACGCTGGGATTAAGACCGAGCGTGCTGCCGTTATTTTCAGTTCCTCCTGAGTGTAGTCAGTGGACGTGTGGTGCCCCTGTGGCAACCTAGACGTTATTTGGGGCGCTGGGAGAGGGCAGTTTGGGGAGACGGTTGTGCGTGATAGGCTTGTGCTGCTGCGCTGCGTGCCTCTGGCCCCCTTCTCTGGTCACGCGCCCCTCTGCTAAGCAGGCACTGCCTGGTGCAGGCAGGGGTGCCTTTTCCCAGAGTGGCAATCCGGTCAGAAAGGCTCCTTCCCAATTAAAATGACCTCACTCTCTGAAATGCTCACACTCAGAGAAGAGCCTGGGGTCGGGAGCACTGCTGTGTCCACACCTGGCCCCTCTATGAGGCTCAGAAGTGGGGAGTCTTGAGAGTGATCTCCACGTTCCAGGGAGTAAACAACTTTCGAGCATACTGTCCCAACATGTGCAAGTTTGTGTATAAGTATACACCCCCCCACACACACACAACACAGACATAAAACCTGCATCTACACACGCATATATAAGTACACTAGCTTTCCTCACCGTATTCGAATTACTCAAATGGTCTAGAGGTAGAAATTGAAAAGAGGTGAGGTCATGGAGAAATAAAGCACTGGTAGTGACTTCCTTCTCGTGTCGCAGTGGATCATTGTGGCTGCGCCCTTCCCTGGAGACCCGCGTCTAGTGGATCTGGAGCTTGTGCTCTCTGGGTGACCGCTGACAGAGACGCCCTTGGGCGGGAAGTGATTGACAGTGAGTTTGCAGCCATCTGAGGCCTCTGCCCGTGGACCTTCGTGTGTGCCGGCGGTAGAAAAGGCTGGGCCACCAGGGCCACTGGGGCGTCCATGACACAGACCCCCCGTGCGCCTCCAGTTCTGACTCGCCTTCTCTGCAGCACTCGGTAGCACCCTGCCCTTTCTGAGCGCTTTCCTCCCCTCCTCGGCCCCTCTCCAGGCCTGACCTCCTAGCGTCTCAAATGCCAGAATGCTTGTGACCTGCCCGAGGCTCTCCTCCCATACTGCCCCTCGTCCCTGGGTCGCTTCCCGGCCCTGACCCCCTGCCTGGGGTAGCGCCACCCGCCGCCGCCCCTCAGTGGCGTCACCAGGCCCAAGACGAACACACGGACTCCTCCCCACCCCGTCCCCTCGGCGGAGCCTCATTTTCTCCTTTCTCTGCAGACAGAGGGCGGGGAGTCACCTCCGATATCCCCTTCTCTCCCTCGCCCCGTATCCGAACCCCGAGTCTGTTTTCCTCTGAACTCTACCGAGGGTCTGTGTGCCCGTCTCCTCTGGAACCGCCCACCCCCGGGGTCCAGGCTCCCGCCATCTCCTCTGGGGGCGCCGCTCCCGCTCCCGCTCCCGCTCGAACCGCTCCTCTGGTCAGGTCAGCCTCTCGCCTGACATCCTTCAGTGCTCGCTCCGCCCCGGGTCGGGTTGGGCTTTATCCCAGCAGGTGCCTGTCGTCTGATCCTGCTGAACCTTCCATTCTCCCCTTCGTCCCGCATCCACATTCCTGCTCCAGCCACGTTCTCCTAAACTGTGGTCTTCTTGCAGCCACAGAGCCTTTGCCGATGCTGCTCCTTCCGGCTGGAGTGCTCCCCACTGTGCCCGCTTCCCACCCCCACTTGTGCACGTAATGGGACCTCACTCGGGGTTGCTTCCCCAGGGAGCCCTCCTGCCCTCTGGACTGGGCGTGCGTGTCTGTTCCGTGCCCGCACCCCGAGCGCCATATGCCGCCGCTCCGCACCTTGTCAGGCCGGGGTTTTCAGTGTCACGCGGTTCACGTCTGCCTCCCCCTCTTGTGAGATTCTAGACCCAGGGCAGCACCTCGCCACCCCGTGTGGTCTCGCCACGGCTGTCCTGCCTGGTGTAGAGCGGGCGCAGTATAGAATTGTTGAACGTCGGCTGCAGCTGGAGCCAGTGGACAGCTCTGGAACATTCTGCCCCTTGCCCGCTGGTGCACACGCTCCTTGTCCCTTCCCCTCCTCCGCCCAAGATGCCCTTGCCTCGGGTGACCCGTTGGTCACCGCCACGCTTCTTCCTCCTGTGCCTGCTGGATTTCCACTCAGAGCCCAGCAGCAAACAGCGGGTGCTCTGATTGTAATTTCTTTGGGTGAAAAGGTAGGGATTTGGCTGCGGGAATGGGGAAGGTGGTTTTTCTTCTTGGAGCCCCTTTGGATGGCTGGCCTCTGTCTGTAATCTTGTCCTCTCTCTTCTGAACGTTTCCCCTGCCAACTGGCCTCTCCACAGGCTCACTGTCTCAGAGACTGCTCCCCAGCCCCCTTCTCCAGGCCGACTGGTGTGGGGGGGGGGGTGGTGTCTTTTCGCTTCTTCCCCATTCCTGCTTCCAAACCATTTCTCCTCTGTTGAAAACCATCGGAGAGCTGCCCTGATTCGCTGAAGACTTCCGTGTCCAGCTTGGTCTTTGGGCCCAGCCACCTGGCCTTCTCTAAGCCCACACCTGAGCAACATCATTGGCGGGAAACCACTTGGCCGGGGAGGACCGCCCCCGGCAGGCCACGGAGCCCCAGTCTTTGGTGGCCGCTATGCTCTCGGCCCTCGTCTGTCCACTTGCAAGCATGTGAACTGTCTGTGTTTGCACCTGCCCTTTTCATGGGCTGGTCCTTCCCTTGGGCTCCAGACTCCAGCTGTCCTCTCTCCCTGTCTGCAGGTGCGTTGCTCCTGTCCCTCGTGGCGGACAGAACTTGCTGGCCTTGCCTGAGTCTGCTCCCTCTTGTAGCAGGATTTCTTGAGAGAGTATGAGAGGATTTATATACTCTCTGTTTCTCACTTCCCGATCAACCTTTTTTTTTTTTTTTGAAAAAGTTTTGAGCACGTGGAATAGCACAGAATAATTTAGTAAACACCTTTATGCCACCGCGCAGAATTTGTAGCTGACTTAATCATACTGCTGATTTCTTTTTTTTTTTTTTTTAGTTTATTTTGAGACAGCATGTGCACAAGTTGGGGAGGGGCAGAGAGCGTGTTAGAGAATCCCAAGCAGGCACCCCACTGTCAGCACAGAGCCCCATGTGGGTCTCGAACTCAAAACCGTGAGATCGTGACCTGAGCTGAAATCAAGAGTCAGCTTAACCGACTGAGCCATCCAGGCACCCCCTGATTTCAGTCTTTTCTAGATGCATTTATTTATTTTTAACTTTTTATTTTAAACTAATTGTAGACACAACAGAAGTTTGCTTTCAAACTAGTACAGAGAGCTCCCATACGACCCTTCCCCGACTTCCCCTGACGTTAACACCTGACACAACCGTGGAGACCAACGTGGCACAGTAACAACGACTTGAGTTTCCCAGGGTTTTCCACTGTTGTTCTGTTCTGAGATGTAGCCAGGACCCCAGTGCCGCATTTGCTGCTTGTTCCCCCCTTAGTCCATGTATCTGCTTCCGTGCGCCTCACAGTCCCAGTGCTCGCTGGGCAGTTACTTTGTAGCACGTCCCCTCAGATTTGGGTTTGTCTCGTCTTTTCTCATGACCGGAACGAGGTTATGCATTTTGCGCAAGAATACCACAGAAACGCTGTTATGTCTTCTCAAGAAGTTCGTAAGTTTGATATTCTATTCCTGGATTTTAATTTCTTTTAATACATCTTTTAAGTTTAGTTTTGAGAGAGACAGACACAGTGCAAATGGGGGAAGGGCAGAGAGGGAGGGAGAGAGTGGGAGGAGGGGCAGAGAGAGGGAGAGAGAGAATCCCAAGCAGGCTCCACGCTGCCAGCGCCAAGCCCGATGTGGGGCTTGACCCACAACCCATGAGATCACCACCTGAGCCAAAACCTAGGGTCGGACGCTTAACTGACTGAGCCACCCAGGCTCACAAATTTTAATTTTGTAAAAGAAAATTATCTATCATAGATAAAATGAAAAGTCTGCCTAGACACTTCTGCCCCTGTACCCCTCACTCCCCTGGAACCATTCTTGTTTTGGTCACCGACGACTTCCACGTGCTCGGATCCAGGGGCCACTTTGCTCCTCCCCTGAGTTTGCCATCAGCAGCACACGGAGCGCCACACTCTCTCCATCACGGCTGTGCCTTCTCCGCCTCCTCTCCTGCTCCCTCCTCCTCCTGCTGCCCCCATCTGAATCGGTCACAGACATGAGATGTCAGCGTTTTTGTTGCTTTTTAAAAGGAAATACATTAGAAAATGCTAGAAAGTCTGGCACAGTTGTGAGCATATAAGGTTTGTTTTAAGGATTGAGTGGGTCCAGAGTGTGCTCCTCACTGTCGCCGGGAATCTCAGGCCCTTTGTGGGTTCCTCCCCTTAAATGCTCCACACGCTGAGGTTTCTCCGGCTGGGCCTCCTCTTTCCTGGTGGCTGGGCTCCCGGCGCCCGCCCCTCCCCTCCCTCGAATGTGCCAAAGTCACTCCCGCCTCGGGGACCTCCGTCTCACCCTCAGGTGTCCTTGTCATTTCCTGGAAGCAGCTCTGTCCTGCCCCTGCCGCAGGGCTTGTGCGTTGTCTGCTTCTCTCTCCGGGATACGGGTCCCTGCAGGCTTTTCCGGTTTCCCTGGGGCCAAGGAAATGGTTTCAAGCGGAGGTAGGACCTTCTGTCCTAAGAAATTAGAACCAGTGTCTGGATGGCCAGTGGTGGCGCCTGGGCCAGTGCCGGGGCGGTGAACTGGGTCGCTCTGGTCCCATCCGGTTCTTTACTCACTTAAGTAGCAAGCAGGGAGGTGCTTGGAGACCTGGCGGTTCCCAAAAGGCTGGCACAAGTCGATGCACTCATTCTGAGATGACCCGCTCCCCCTTTTTTTTCTTTTTTTGAGTAGGCTCCGTGTCCTGCATGAGCCCAATGTGGGGCTCAGACTCATGACCCTGAGATCAAGAGTCGGTCGCTTAACCGACTGAGCCACCCAGGCGTGCCACCGGTTATCCTTCTTAACCTATTTTAACCATGTTTCTTGCTTGTGATTGTTTTCCTTCATTTCTTCCTCCAGACTTTTCCCTCCACGCACCAGCTCCCCTTCCTCCCTACCGGGAATAAATATTGAACTGCGATACTACATATGAACAAAGAGATTTCTTGTTTATAGTGTTTGGAGCAATGCCAGAGAGAGCTGCAAAGTTCTTAAGTCTCTTTCCATCTTCTCTCCATCCTGGCGATGGGTTGACTCGACTCTGGAGGATTCTGGACAGTGTGTGTGTTCAGCGACAGCACGGCCTGTGAAGTCAGTCCCCAGTAGCCTTTGTACTGAGTGGACACGATGCGCAAAATATTAAGGCTACTGAGGTAACGCGGTGGGTCTTAACTCTGTATAAAGTTTGTAACTTCAAACGCGAAGGCCTGTTGAGGATCGGGCACTCGGATGTTTTAAACGGCGCCAACCCTAAGGCCCTTAAGGCTTAGTCTCTCCACACAGAGGGAAGCCAGAAAACAAATTTTGATTCCGACAAAATCTGGATACCTAGACAGAGGAAATCCTGATGCAACCCTTTGAAATCGTGAGAAGGGAGGGTGTGCAGAGGGGAGGGTGTGCTGAGGGCCGCACAGAGCCACCACGGACAGCCTGACAGCCTGTCCGCCTCCACACCCCCGTCCCCCGTCCCGCGGTGCCCGGCCTGCACGCACCTTGGCATTTCACTCCACACCGACATCCAGGTGAGAGTCTGAGAGGCGCCTTGCAGATCTGCGCACACTCTCCTGCGGGGTGTCTCTGGTGCGGGTCGTCGGGCTGGCAGGGACTCCACCTCCTTTGAGGGGTTCAGAAATAAAACCTGTCTGACCCTCGACCCCGTTCTCCACGCCGTTAACCTGACAGGGCAGTGCCGTGTGTGGTCATTGTCTGCGTCTGCCCAGGTTGCCATAACAGGCTCCGTGGGGGTGCGGACAGCACACGTTTATTTCTCGGCGCTGCGGGCCGGACACCTGAGATCAGGGTGCCGGCACGGTTGGGGTCTGGCGGAGCCCTCTTCCCGGCCTGCGGGTGCGGTCTTCTCCGAGTCCTCACATGGCAGAGGGATGGAGAGACGGAGGGAGGCACAGCAGGCTCTCTGGTGTCTCTTCGTATAAGGACGCTGATCGCGTGGGCGCCCCGCACTCGTGACCTCATCTGTGCCCGTCCCCCTCCCAGAGGCCCGTCCTCACACACCCATCACGCTGGGGGCCAGGGCTTCGGCGTGTGGATTTGGGGAGGATGCGGTATCGTTCACGGCAGCCGTAGGTGCCAAACTGCAAGTGAGTAAGTAAAGAGCAGGTCTCACGAGGTGGTCAGCCCACAGTTGTGGGAATAAATGACACACACGAGACGGTGGCTAAACTGGAATTACGGGGGATCACCAGCAAAGCCGTTTGCTCCCCAAAATGTGAGGGTGATCAAATGGCTGTTTACTCCAGTGTGGTTCCGTGTCCTTTGGAAAAGTAGCTTCTCTGTTTTCTTCTCTGTGACGTCAGCGCCCTGTCATTGCCTGAGTTGGTCCCGTTGTGCGTGTTTGTAACATGAGCGTACAGAGCTGCTTCGCTTTGCTCCGTGTTTGTGCGGGATCGCACTCCCCACGGCACGTTTCTTAACAAGGGGTGAATAAGAATCCTCTGAAAGCTCCCCCCGCCCGCTGGCCCCTCCTCAGACACAGTGACTTAGAGGTTAATTTGCTGTTTAATGGCAAAGGACCGAGGAGTGAATTTGAACTGAGGCCAAAAGATGATTTTTGTAGGCAGGATGGTTGTAGATCCCACCTGAGTCACTGGGACTAGAGACCGCTTAGGAGCCTCAGGGATTTTGGCAAGAGACAAAGTTAAACCGGCAGCAAAGACTAGGGATAAGAGCAGGGCATGGAGGCCGGGATGTGCCGCGCCAGGGCGCTCTTTGGACCGAAAAACAGGCCCAGGTCTGTCAGTTGTCCTTCAGGATGGGTTCGGTGGCAGAAGGCCCCCGCGCTCCTGCTCCGCACTCGCGGCTGAAAAGCAGGCCAGCACCCCCCTCTCCAGAGTGGACGGCATTGTGGCGGCCTTTGAGAAGATGCCATGGGTGGGGTTCATAGAAGTTTTAAGGTAGATACGAGCAGTAAAATACCAACAGATACTCTGCTTTTGGAATCAGCGACCCAGTTAAACTGGAATTTTAAATCTTACTGGTGTAGCGTGACCCCTGCAAGCACGGACCCTGCACGTTACAAGATGTTGATCTCTGTGTCTTCGCGTTCCAGATGGGGGTGGCGGTCACGACGCCTAGTCGTAGAGGCTCTGGGGCTGATGCCGCTGCTCCCGCGAAGCGCTCGTGCCTGCGCACCCTCAGCCCTCAGGAAACGTGTGCTGTGTTGCTGTCTGTTCTAGGGGGCCGAGGCCATGGTTCTGGAGAGCGTTATGTTTGCCATTCTCGCAGAGAGGTCGCTGGGACCCAAGCTCTACGGCATCTTCCCCCAAGGCCGCCTGGAACAGTTTATCCCGGTAAGATGTGTTCTGCGCCCGTCGGCCGGCACGCGCCGCACACAAAACATGGATTCTTGCCCTTGTGGCTGCAAGAGCCCGAGACGTCGCGCTCGGACGTAGCGAATGTGACACGTTATTCCATTGCGTCAGAAATAAAGAAAAAACAAACTTCTGTTGCGTTTACATTAGCACCTCTGTCTTTCTGCAAAGATGTTCATCCGAATGAAAAATCTGTACGAAGCCTACATTCCACTGACCCCTAAAGCTGCTTATCCCGGCATTTTCCCCCTTCACCTTGTTCCCGTGGACGTCCGGGCCTCCTTTAGAAGTCACTGCGGGTCCCCGTGGCCCTGGCCGCCGCGTGCCACACCCGGGTCTTCGCCCCGTGGGGCCACTACTGCTCTTTGCCTCGTCTCCCATTTCACTCCCTCTGTCTGAGTCTCCCCAGCTCCCACGGGCCGTCAAGTGCCTCTGGTGTTTCAGGGCCCGGCTCAAATCCCGTTTCCCAGAGTTGGGAGTGTTTGCCCTTTCTTGCTGTCCTGAGGCATTTCTGATGTTGCTCTAACATCTGGACCAGCGTGTCTCGCTTAGAGTTACGTGTGAGTAAACCCACGAAGGGCTTCGGGCCTCGAGAGCTCGCGTTAGAGGGAGCGTGGGGCGGCTCCGGGCCGTTTAGGTGGAGCTGCTGAGCCTGGCCAGCCTGCCTTCCCACTCACAGCCAAGCTCACAGATGTGGTGAAGGGTTCCTCTTCTTCACCTGTGGGGCCCCTCGGAGACAGGGTCACGAATGGCTGCCTTTTCCTGCCCGGCCTCACGTGGCCACCTGTACGGTTGGCCTGGCCGAAGGGAGGCCCTGCTCGCCAGGACTCAACCCGTGTTCGGCGAGAGGCTGGAGGAAGGGCTGCTGACGGTCTAATTCCCCACAGCCCAGGGATAGGAGCCTCCTTGTGACCTGTCTCCCAGGAGGGGAACCCTCTTCTAGGTCATGCGGTGGCGCCATACGAGCGGCCGCCGGCCGACAGGCCTCGGTCTCTAGCCTGGCACCTGGCTTGCCACCTGGCGATTGTTTTATTTATAACTGTCCCAGTAAGGACAGTAACATCTGGCTGCATGAGCATCAAATGAGATAATAATAAAGCATTTGAAAGAATTAAAAATCTAAAGCCCTTCCTGTGGTTACGAGTGGCGACACGGATGCACCTTAAGAAGGGGACACTGAGCCACAAGACCAGGTGGTGAAGGCTACAAATAGTACAGGTCATTTTAATAAAGCCCTGGAAGCACACCGGCAGCTGTGTGAAGTATACACATGTGGTGAAACTCCTTGTAGGGAAGGGAAAGGAGCAGGGACCACAGCTCAGAATAACGGGGCGTCCTGTCCCAGACCAGGATGCGGGCGTCGGAGTGTCCGTGGGTGCATGCGGTTTGAGTTCTGTAATTCCAGTGTCTTTATATATAACGTTTGCTATGTCATGAAGATTTTTAAAAATTCTGTTAAAATACTAGGTCAAACCACTTGAAACTACCGATATCCAACCGCTTTTGACCCCAGAGACGGTGATTGCGTTTGGCTCGGCCTGATGGCACGTCTTACTTGCAAGTTTCCTCGGGACTGCCGCGTGCGCCCCACCCCATCCGGTCCCCGTAGCCACAGGAAGCCTCTGTTCCAGAGGGCACAGGAAGTGACCTCTGCGAACGCTGGTCTCCTGCTGCACTTTCCGAAGGAGCTTAGAACCCTGCAAGGGGCTCATTTTTGAGCGCGGTTAGCCTTACACTTTCCACGGTGCCAAACAGATCAGTGGCGTTTTGTAACCGAGCCGAGGGAAAGCCGAGTGAACGCCCTGCCCTCACCTTGGTGCCACCGCTCAAGAAGCTGCAGGGCCCCAGGTGCAGGAGGAGGGCGAGGTTGGGCCTGCTGCTTCCAGGGAGCCCTGAGCTCTCGTCGCCGGGCTCCCACCATTTGTCAAGACCTGCCCGGCGGGCTGCTGGCCCAGGGCCCTTGCCTGCAGCACCCGCCCTCGTTCAGAGCAGCCCCGCCAGGGACTTGATGTGCTTCTCATTTTGTGGAAACCAGGAAGTCAGACGCAGAGGTCTGAGCAGCGTGCCTTTGGCCCTATGCCTTTGACATGAGGATTAAAGCCAGGGTTCGAGCTGGGTTTTTTGTCTCTAGCTTGGAGACTCCCCCTGTTCACCCCTGTGCTGTGCCACTCTGGATTTTCGGAGGAATGCCTCTTTGGGCTTCTGGAGGGGAGCAGTGCGTGTGGGAAGGACGAACAGGTCTCAGTGGATTGTGCTTTCCTCGTGAGGAGCTGGGACGTGCCTCCGGAGCGGGCGTGGCCTCGGGCCGCAGTAGTGGGAACTGGGAGCTCTGGGGGTGGCAGTGACGGGAGCCGCAGTGGTGGGAGCTGGGCACCTCTGTTTCTTTGCTCAGCTTTGCGCTCTGAGAGCCTGCTCTGTGCCAGGCGGGGGCTGTGGACGCCACCGTGGGCGAGGGGGCCGTGGCTCATGCTGAATTCCTGGCAGTGCTCCCGATTGGGACCACCTCGTGCCTGAGATGTGTCCGGGCGGGGTGTCCGAGCTGCTGAAGGAGTTAGACACGGGCTCATGTGACAGACCGCTGGAAACCTGGAGCTTTTACCAGGGAAGAGGGCACGCTCTGGCGTCAGGCAGAGGGCAGGGAGCACAGAGTCCGCCTAAACGCTTGTCTGCGGGGAGGACCTTCTCAGGATTAAAAGGGTTCAAAATGATACTGAGCTGTGGAGCAGGCCCCTCCCCCTTGCTGACAAACGCCATGGCGATTGCTGGGGCACTGTCCGCGGGGCACGGTGCCCGTTCCTACGGGACTTCGGTGCGCCGGAGGAGACTTAGATGCCCTACAGAACGGACTCCTAGTCCTTAGGCTTGTGTGATCGCACACCTCCAGGTTCCCTGAACAAATGCTGTTTTCTAACTCCCTTTTTTATTCCAGAGCCGGCGATTAGACACTGAAGAATTAAGTTTGCCAGATATTTCTGCAGAAATAGCTGAGAAAATGGCCACATTTCATGGTATGAAAATGCCATTCAATAAGGAACCAAAATGGCTTTTTGGAACAATGGAAAAGTAAGTGGCCAAACCGCTTAGCTCTGACTCAGTTTTGTGTTAGCGGCCACCAGAGGTGCCAGCGTGAGTACTTGTTTGCCACGGTGGTCGGAGTCCTTCCTCTGGTCTGCCGGACGGGTGGGTGGGCAGGAAGTGAGTTTTCTAGAGAGCCCGGGGCTCCCCACTGGCATCCCGTGGCTGCACTTCACGGGAGCTCCAGGAGGAGGCCACGGGGGACTGAGCGGTGGTTTCCGTTCTCCCCTTTCCTGCAAGGTATCTGAATCAAGTCCTGAGGGTCAAGTTTGCCGGGGAGCCCAGAGTGAAGCAGCTCCACAGACTCCTCCGCCACAACCTGCCTTTGGAACTGGAGAACCTGAGGTGAGGCGTGGTCCGTGGCGACGGCGCGGGTTTTCTTCTGGAACGGAGGTCGTGGGGGCGGCAGGCTGGGGGTGTCCGCAGAGGAGGGGAACCATGCGCCGCAAGCTCTGGGGGGAAATGGAGTAGGAAGCTCGGCGCTGGCCTCCGAGCAGGGGCTACCACCCGGCCTTTGGGGTGCAGCGGTGCGGGCCTCCGGCATTCGCCCCGAGTGCGAGCGGTCCCGGCCTTCCTCGGTCACATTTGCACGTGGTGCCCAGCAAGTGGTGACCGGGACGTTCTTCAAGGCGCTTGTGTTTTAGTAGGAGAGACGGAGACCAGCAAACACGTCCCGTAATGTCAAGTCGTGGTAAGAGGTGTGACGGAGACCAGAGGCAGACTGATGAGGAGGGTCATACTGGGGTGGGGGGGGGGGGCTGCGGGCCAGGACCCACAGCCACGTGAGGAGGGTCCTCCAGGAGGGGGCCCACACGGGAAGAGCTGCTGGGCACCCCGGGGGCTCACGAGGGTCTCTGGGTTGAGCTGCTGCGGAGCTGTCGTCGCGTGATGGTGGCGCTCCCGGAGGCCACAAGAAAAGCACTGCACGGAGGCCGTGTGGCACCGCGGAGCGCCTGTGCAGCGCCGGGCACAGAGATGGTGGTGCTCTGTCTCTGGCCTACAGTGTGACGAGTGACGACAAAACCTTCCTTTCCCAGGTCGCTGCTGGAATCCACCCCTTCTCCAGTTGTGTTTTGTCATAACGACTGTCAGGAAGGTAAGGATTGCTGCCTGTTTTGTGGAGCTGGCTTTATGTGTCTGCTTGGAAGGCTGAGTGTGTGTGTGTGTGTGTGTGTGTGTGTGTGTGTGTGTGTCCACTGTGTGATGAGTGCCAGGGCTGCGGAGAGGGGAATGGCTGTGTGAATAATGGCAGGGCCGCACAATGGAGTGCTGTGTAACTGTTGAAAAGAATGAGGTCGAGTTTTTATACAGAAAAATCTCCAGGATGTGTTAAGAGAAAAAAAGCAACTTTTGGAAAAACACAGGGGTATCCTCCCATTTTTGCAAGAAATATATTCACAGAAGAAAAAATGAGAATGTTCGCTAACCTGGGAGGATAAAGGACGGAAACTTCCAAAGTCACTTACTCGTTTAGTGTTTACTCTGGTGGACACAGGACTTCGGTAATCTGAGGGCACAGTAGGAGATGACCGTGGCCGGGATCGGTCCTGGGGGCCTCGTCCCCTCCACCTGCAGCGCCTCGCGGCTAATCGAGGTCACCTGCTCTCAAGATCAGTTCACTCTGCCATGGCCTTGGGTCTCTCTGCCTTCAGGAAATTACGACGCCGGATACCCCTTACTGTGAGCCACCTTTGCCCACCGTGACTTCAAATGGAGGCCCGGTCTAGCTGGGCAGGTCCCACGGGTGCTGCCGTGGTGCTTTGGCACCCGGCAGGCTCCGCCGTGCTGTCCTTGTCCTCTCCGTCGCTGCTGGCTCATGCCCACCCTCGGGCCGTTTGCCAGGCTCAGCGGTTTGTTTTTAATTTTAACAATAGTCCGTGGTGAGGGTCAGTCATCGATAAGACATCAGTTTGAGCCAAAATACGTTTTATTGAAGAGTTGATCATTGCTGGCCACGTCTCGCAGTATAGACGCGTCAGCCACAGGTTTGCGTGGCAGCGGGCGGTTGCGGCACAGACATCACCGGGGGCGTGAGGGAGGCCAGCTGCCGGCGGTGGCCATGTGTGCAAGGGCCGGAGAAGCTGGGGGCGTCTGTCTCCCTTTTTCTGCCGCTTTGGGCATCTGCTTCCAAGGCTCCTTTTGCTGGCTACCGGAAACAGAACATGGATGCCGAGAAGCCTAGAAAGTGCACCTCCTGCAGAAACCCTGGAGAGAGAGGGGCCGAAAACCTAGCAAAGCCTGGCTCGCCGGTGCCACCCCCCAGCCCCGTAGTCACGCTGAACGCCGTGTAGAGTGTGGGGGTCTTGGAACGTGTGTCTGAAGAGCCAGTCTGGCAGTCAGTTCACTTGTGGCCCAGAATTCGGCCTCACGGGACCTGTGGCGGAAGGAACGCCACCTGTGGCCTCCTCCTCAGGAGGAGAAGTGGGTGAGGCGAAGCAGTGGGGCCGAGTATGGTCCCCGGAGCCATACGCACGGTAGCTGCCCTCACCGGTGACATCCTCGTCGGGGGGGACACCAGGACGCAGCTCTCTAGCTGGTGGGCCACAGCCGGCCCTTCTGCCACCCCGCCTCAGCGCTGCTGGGCATGTTGGGTCAGCCAGAACTCTGGCATGCCAGTCCAGTGTCGTCTTCTGCACCCCTGTGTGAAACGACTGGGGAGTACTGCCCCAGCAAGCAAATGGCGGGCCATTCTTGTTCGGGGGTAAGCCCGGGGCCGTGTTACTCCTGGGCTGCTGTGAACAGGGGCTCTTGTGTCCGCACGGCCCGGGCCTTCTGTTTTGGGGGCGGGGGGGGGGGGGGGGTGACAGTGCTGCTCCTGGGACTCTGTGGCCTGCGTTCACTCGTGTGGTTCGGATTCCCGGAGAGGATCAGAACCGCTCTTGGCCCTGCCGGTCAGGGGCTCGTGCCTTCGACTGTGAAGCCCACGGTAAATGGCACGTCGTCGAAACCTTTTTTGCAGGTAACATCTTAATGCTGGAAGGCAGAGAGAATTCTGAAAAGCAGAAACTGATGCTCATCGACTTCGAATACAGCAGTTATAATTACAGGTAACACGTTACAGTAAAATGTGTTTATTTCCGTATCGTTCTATTAGGTTAATGATACACGTAGGAAACAATTAGAGCAGAAAATAGGCAGCAGTGCCAACAAAATACAGTGGAAGCTGGTGCGTTTGTCCCCGCGGCCTGCAGTGGTGCGTGAGGCAGCGAGGCCTGTTCTCCGTGGTTCGTGGGGAGCAATGGTGTGAGGAGTCACGATGCGCAACTTGGTATTTTGTTGGTGTCAGAGGTCAGAGCCCTGAGTGCAGGAGGCTCTCAAACCATTGCTTTTTTTCTTTTTTAAGTTTTTTTTTTTTTTTTTGAGAGAGTGAGTGCACACGCACGTGCAAGTGGGGGAGGGGAAGAGAGAGAGAGAGAGAGATTGAGATTGAGATTGAGAGAGAGAGAGGATCCCAAGAGGCTCCACACTGGCAGCACAGAACCCAGTGCAGGCCTCCCTCCCACAAACCGTGAGATCATGAGCTGAGCCGGAATCTAGAGTCCGATGCTCAGTCGACTGAGCCACCCAGGCACCCCTTGAACAATGGCTCTTGAGTCATGGGCACTTTTGTGGCTCCGGTCGGCTGTGGCTCTGGTAACTGCCCCGTTGGCTCTCCCTGTCACTGACACTGTCATCCCCGGGGAACCTCGGGAAGGACAGTTTGTTGCTGGGAGGGGTGCTCACGACTCGGCCTTTGTCCTTCTCTGGCCAGGGAGCCTTGTGCCGTGGCAGGGTGCCCGGTTCACAGCGTCTCTTACCTCTCTTTCAGGGGATTTGACATTGGGAATCATTTCTGTGAGTGGATGTATGACTATAACTATGAAAAGTACCCTTTCTTCAGAGCCAACATCCTGAAGTACCCCACCAAGAAACAGCAGGTAGGAGACTACTGGGTGGAGGCTTGATAGGAGGTAAATTACACGAGTTGGTTTTATGCAGTTAGAATTGATTACTTCTTCAATTTTCACAAGACTCTTGTGAAAGGGTCAGAATGGTTCAGCAGACCCTTTTGCTCTAAAATGTTATTTTGTGTCAAGACACAAACTTGACATTTTAATCCCCATGCCGGCGATAACCTATGTTCGGTTAGAGAGTGGTCTCTTTTGTAGCTCCTTCTGGTTTTTTCCAAAAAGCCCAGCCTCTGTTCTGCCCTCTGGCCTTCTTTTTGGGGATCACGGTGTTTCCTGTGTGTGTTTCACTCCCTGCAGACAGAAGTGATCTTTTGGGCAGCATGACTTAGGAGCCGCTGTGGTGTTAACCAGTTCCCTGTCCTGTCCCGAGTGTGGGGGTCGAGGGGCCGCGTGAAGAATCACCCTGTGGCAGTTTCCCCCTTGGGAGCCCCTACTCCATTCCTCAGCCCGCTGCTGGAGCGGCCGGGGATAAGTGGGTAGCGGGGTGGAAGCAGGCCAGGTTGTGGAGAGGGAGGGCCGAGCCCGCTTCCCTGAGCCTGTGCAGGACAGCGTCTCTACCCGCTTCGCGACCCCCCTGCCCCAGAACCGCTCTTCCCGCGGAACCCCTGCCAGCGAGCAGCATTTCAGAGAGGTCAGAGCGGCGCGAGGACGGGGATGCGGCCAGTTGCTGCTGTAACTCACTCGGGACATGTTTCTCCGTCACTCGCCTGCGCCAGGCGCGGTGACGGTGTCTTCAGTCGATGGCCCACACGCCGGGGGCTGCCGTTCCGATGTTGACTTGCCGTGGGACGGAAACCGCGTTGCCCTCTTCTTGCCACGTCGTAGGGCCAACTGTGATGAACTTGAGTACCAGCTGGCCAGGCTGGTTCTGGCCCTCAAGGTCAGAAGGAAGGGAGGGGAAGAGGGAAGTGTGTGAGAAGGAAGGGAGGGGAAGAGTAGGCCATTTAGCCCGAGGAAGAAGAAACCGCAGTCTTCAGGTATTTGAGTTTTTGCCTCACTGAAAAGAAAGCAGACCTTTGTGAAAACCGGGCAGCCCTAGAGGTGAGAACCCTCAAGCCGGGAAGAGGGGCTTTTCAGCAAGAAGGCAGGTTTCCTATTAACGCGCAGAAGAGCTGTGTGACCGCCAGCACCGCACAGCAATGCGAATAGTTATTGGTCTTTTTTCGACACCCCTTCTGCACCGCTGAGGTAATCTCGCGCTTGTCTCCCTTTAGGCCGTTAACGAGATGTTTTAAAATGTTAAACCATCTTAGAATTTCTAAAATAGACCACTCGAGTGAAGTGTGTTATTTTGGATCGCTCTCTTGGATCCAGTTAAGCAATCTCTCACTTAGGAGTTTGACATCTGTGTACATATGTGGATTGGGCTCTTAACGTTCATTTTAAAAACCATTATTCATATCTGCTTGTGGAATAAGAATTATACTAGTCTAATAAAATGAGTCGGGTGTCCCTTTTTAATTTTCTGGAACAAATTTATATTAAACATGACGTTCTTTGAAGATTTGGTAGACTTTGCCTGTAAGAAAACATGGGCCTAGAACTTTTTGGGAGAGAAGGCCATGAATGGTGACCCCATCTCTCAGGGTGTCGATCTATTCAAATTTTCTGCCGACTTGAGTATTTAGTATCTCCTGGAAATTAACCCATCACGTGTGGTGGTTCACGCATGGGTTTTAGAAACTACTGTGCCATTTGAATCCCAATCTGCTACTGACTTTACTGTCACCTGCTGTGTCTGTGCTTCCATTTCCTCATCTGCAGAAATTATTTTGTTACCGTGAGGGACGAGGTAATATGCAGAAACAAATGCTCAGAGTAGCACCTGCTGCATAGAATTTACTAGGGGCCAGCGGTCACCTTTTCTGTGCAGATTTACTCCTTCTGGAACCCCCTGCTAGGACAGTGCTTGGGCTGGAGGGATGCCTTCTGGTGGGAGGGGGTACACTGTGTGAAAGCCGGTTTGGGAGAAGGGCGATGGCAGAGCTGGTCGAGAAGGAGTGTTGGCATTCCAAGTAAGTAATCGCTTCCTGGCGTTCTTCTGGGTCACGTAACTGATGCCGTTTCCTTATTTATCAGAGAAAGCAAGCGGTAGTTTGCTGTGTTCTGTATAAGATGAAATACAGAAGGACATGGGATCTCCCAAATCCTAATGCGAGTGTGGACTGTGTGTGGGGCCTGGTAGACCCTCTTCTCCAAACCAAAATTAGACGTGGCCAACGGACAGACATAAATGTGTAGATAATCATGGCACCGCAGGGGGAAGGCCCTTCTGCACGGTCTGGTCAGCTCTCACCCTCGGGTGGCGGGGGGGCACCTGCCAACACCTTTGGGCTCCCTGGCGCCTGTGCCTGGGCTTCCTGCGGTGACCCCGCACAGAATGCCAGCCAGTCTGGGGAGACGCATGATGTAGGCTTTGCACCCAGACCATGGGAAACATGAGTGTGGATTAGATTCTACCTGTTTTCGCTGGAAGTCATCGTAATTTCCCGTACTAGTCTTGCCAACAAGACAGCATCGACAGCAAGCTGGAGCTCCCTGCCGGATCAGCGAGCTTCCACACTCCCCACGCCTGGCACAGAGCTGCTCGGGCTCGGCTGGGCCTTCTCCAGGCGTCTCTGGCGATGCGGGGTGTCCACTGGACGTGTAGTGCTTCCTGACAGCTGTCGACACCGTCTGTCTAACCATCACTGACTCCGATGTAATTCCTTTTTTTTAAAGCTCCACTTTATTTCCAATTACTTGGCCGCATTCCAAAATGAATTTGAAAACCTCAGTAATGAAGAGAAGTGCATTATAGAAGAAGAGATGTTGCTTGAAGTCAATAGGTAATTGTTTCCTTTCATTGATTGATAAAGATAGCTGTCCTGTTCCAGAATATGATTGGGGTGACTGCTCGCAATCCTGAGTATTTTAGGAGCTTCTCTACAAACATACGTGTCTAGGACTTATACTTTGTCCAAAGGGGAACATTTGACACCTCTCTAGATTGCAGCTCACGGCAGGGGCGGGGAGGAGCAGGGTCAGCGCACAAGGTCAGGAGGCTTGGATGGTGCCCCAAACTGTAATCCACGTGTAAGACTCAGCGGAACAAGGCCGTGCCATCCAGGGCCTGCACCCTCTTGTCGCCCGATGCTCGTGAGATGGTGGGCACCATCCATTAATGTGTTTCTTCTAAAAAATAATGACAGATTGCAAGCATTGGTTCTGAGTCTTGCTTGTTTAACTTTGTTTCAGCAGCTCTCAAAGCAGGGCTGAGAAACTTCTGGATTTTGTAAAGGTTCAGACCCCTGTGTATCATACACACTCATCTCCCAAGTCTGGAGGCTTGAGTTACTCCCATCCTTTGGGGTCTGTTACAACAGGAGATTCTTGCTAAAAATGTCTCCGTACCTCTGACCCACCTTGTTCTGTCCAGCCCGCTTAGCACAGATCATGTCTTCCAGATCCTGGTCTTCAGAAGTGTCCACACCCCTGTTGCTGAGCCTGTGGCCAGCCCTGCCGTCCCCGGGGCTCCCCCTGCAGCACGGAGCTTCCCTCTCTGGTTCGGGAATGGATAGAAAATAGAAAAAGGGAGAGCCAGACAGGAAGGGGAGCCCCAAGGGACGTGTAGAGGGTCAGGGAGTCCAAGCAGGGGTGAGGAGGATACTAGAGCATTCAGTGAAGCCCACAGGCACTGTTGTGAGGGGGCACGTGCGTGGGTTCACGGTGACCGAGGCCATGGTGCGGCGTAGAGATGGGGACTGTCACACCCTCCTCTGTTTCACCGCTGTGCTGCGAGGGCAGGGGTGAGGGTGGGGCGGCATCCAGCTCCAGGAAGGGTGGTGAGTTATGCAGAGGCCTGCATTTTCCCCCTCTTGCTGCACAATGCGCCCTGAGGGTTGCTGGTGCCGTGGGCTCACACGGGTAGCAGACAGCGTTTCTTTCCCAGCGTGGCCCGTGCCTGCCTGCGTGGCCCCCAGGGCCCCCGTTGAGTCCCGTGACTGTGTGACTGTCGCCGTCCCACTCGGCAAGTCCACCCGCCCCCAGCCAGAGGTGGGCGGAGCCGGCAGCCGTGCTCCCAGCTGCTCGATCCCTGTGGCGTGTAATCCCACCGAGCTGGCCAGGGCAGACCCAGTTCGCATCCCGAGGAGGTAAAACGCCCACCTGCAGGAAATTCCGTCATCGGGCCTGTGGCTGGTGCCGCCCATCTCACGTGCGTCTCCTGCTCTTGTAATTACAGGTTTGCCCTTGCGTCCCATTTCTTCTGGGGACTTTGGTCCATCGTACAGGCCAAGATTTCTTCCATTGAATTTGGGTACATGGTATGTTTTGGGGGTGGTTTTCTCTTCTATTCTCAGAAAGAAAATTGTTAACGATGTCTGTGAATGCTTGGTGGTAAATGACCGCTCTTTGCAGAGGGCTCCCTGTGCCCCCGCAAGTTGTGAATGAGGCGACCCGGCACCAGGACAGCAGGCTCAGCCCAGGAAGCTGAGGGTCAAAGGCTGAATAATTTAACCCGCTCTCACTGGCTCTGCATCTGCAAAGGCAGGTGACCAGCAGGCCAGGCCTTCCCTGCTCCAGAGAATGCTGTGTGGTCCTGTGGTTCGCCTGGGGGATGTAGAAATCGGACGCTGGAGGTCCAGCCCTCGACCTCAGTCCCTTCGGACACAAGGGACGGCGAGTGAAGGAACACGATGGGGTCCGCCTCTGTGTTTTCCTCAGCTGTCACGGCTCCGTTCTCCGGCCTGCAGCGCCCCACGTCGTGCGGGCGGCTGGTGCTGACTCAATGAGCCTCCTGGTCGCTGCAGGCAAGTTTGACCAGCCAGGCTGTCGTTTTCTTCTAACTTCAGGAAGCGTCCTTGACGCAGACAGTTGTAACCTCGAGTTAAGCCCTCTGTTGGCCCATGGTGAGTGTCGGGAGCGTGTTCCAGGGCAGGGGCATGTAACGTCTCTAGTGAGCACCTTGCTTTGAGACAGGAGGTGGGAGTGACTAGTTCTCCGATCCCCTAGTCCTGTATGAGGCGGAAGGGTTGGTACTGCACAGGTGGTCTCAGGCCAGAGAAGGGGAACGTGGACTTTTGAAGCAGGTTTAGTCACGGTCACGTGATTATCGTAAGGCAAAGTAGACATCAAAAAAATACTACCAGAGATAAAGAATAATTTTGTAATAATAAAAGGATCGCTTGATCTAGAAGACATTGAGAAAATCGTGAAGGCGTCCATACCTTTCTTGCTTCAAAAGACGTGAAGCAACACCTGAGAAAACTGATGGGGAGAGAGGCGGACCCACAGAGCAGCCCTCCCCCTCCCTTGGTGACAGCAGAGCCAGAAACACAGCAGCAGGAGGGACGGAGGAGCGGACAGCACTCTCCCGGCTTGACGCAACTGATGCCCACCGCAGAAGGTACATTCTTGCCCACTGAATATGGAATGTTCATCAAGATGGACCATATGCTGAGCGCTAGAAAATAGGTCTCAAGTGGAAAAGAACTGAAATGCAGAGAATATACTCTGACCCTGGTGGAATTTAATAGGATATCAACAACAACAGAATCCTGAAACTTCTTATTTGGAAGTCATTTGGAAATTAAACAGTACATCGAAGCCCTGGATCAAAGAAGAAATGAAACAAAATATTTCAAAGAAAATTATAAGGGAACACAGTATATCAGAATTTGTGAGATGTAGTTGGAGTAGTGTTTAAAAACTTGTGGCTTTGAAGGTTACACATTTGTATTAGATAAGAAGGTTTTCAAACCAGTGACCTTAAGAAGCGAGAAAGAGAAAAACAAGCTTAAGCCCAAAGTCAGTAGAACTAAATAAAAATAAAAGCAGAAATCGTTGAAATAGAAAATGAATGGGAAAAAAAAAAGAAAGTCAGTGAAACCAAAAGTTGGTTCTTTGAAAAGTTCAATAATATTTATAAACTTTTGGCTGTACTGAGCAAGTAAAAGAGAAGACACATGACTGATACCAGGTATAAAGAAGACATCACTACAGATCCTATGGATGTTAAAAAGGGTAAGAGAATATTATGAATAACCTCATGCCAACGGATCGACAGTGTGCATGTGCAAATGTCTTAGAAGATACAAATTACCAAAACTGACATAACAAATGACCATATATTTATTCAACAAATTGAATTCATAATCAGAAAGGAAGAAGAAAAACTGCCTTTATTTTATAGGTGACATGATCACGTACATGAGTAAATATAAAAGAATCAATAGAAAACCATGCAGGGAGTTTACTGAGGTCACGGGATACAAGGGCAGTGTATAAAAAGCAGCTGCATTCCTATATGGTAGAAATAGTTACAGATGAAATTTCACTATATTGACAATGGCATAAAAGTATGAAATACTTAGGGATAAGGTTTTTAAAATATGTGCATGACCTGTGTACTGAGAGCTGTAGAACATTGCTAAGAGAGCCTAAATGGAGACAGAGACCACATTCATGGCTTCAGAAGACTCGGTATTAAGAGTCTGTTCTTCCCAAACCGATCTCCAGAGTCTCCACGATCCCAGTCAAAACCCGCACAGGCTTTTGGGCAGAAACTGATAAGCTGATTCTAAAGTGTATGTGAAACTAAAACTAAGGAACCAAGTCAGAAGACTCATTCTGCCTGATCTCGAGATGTGTCGACACAGTGTGGCATTGGTGGAAAGACGGACATCAGTCAAATGGAGCAGAGTCCACTGCCCAGAAATAGACTCGCATGTAGAGCCAACCAGTATTCAACAGAAGGGCCGCAATAATTCATTGGGGGGAAAGAAAGGGTTATATTTTCAAAACTGATGTGGGAACAACTAAATAGCCATATGGAAAAAATACTGAACCTTGATCTCCTGCCATACACAAAAGTTAACTTGAAAGAGAGGACAGACCTAAATGTAAAAGCTCAGACCACCACGTGTCTGGAAAACACAAGAGAGAAGCTTCCTGACCGAGGCAGAGATTTCTTAGGTTACATAAAGCACTGACCATAAAAGTAAGTTGGGCTTAATCAAAATGAAAAACTTTGGCTCTTTGAATGACATCCTTAAGAAAATAAAAAGGCAAGCACAAACAGGAGAAGATGTTGCAAATTTGTATCTGACCAGGACTTGTATTTAGAATACAGAAAGAACTCACAACTTAGCAAGAAACCAAACCTCCTTTATAAACAGGCAAAAGATTGGGACACTGCACAGAAGAGAAACAAATGGCCAGTACACATCTTTGTGTCTGCATAAGGTAATTAGTCATAAGAAGAGATGCAAATCACATCTTCAGTGTGATTCCCTACACACCTGTGATGGTGGCTAAAACCTTAAGACACTGACAATATCAGACGTTAGCAGGAATGTGGAGCAGCCGGAACTGGCATACGTTGCCGAGGGGGCTGGTGAGAGGGTCTGGCCGGTCTGGAAGACAGTGCGGCCACACATTTACCGTACAGCCCAATAGTCTACTGTGGCATCATGGATCCAGGAGACGTGAAAGCATACATCCACGCCAGGACTTGGGTTCAGATGCTCACAGCAGCTTTCTGTGTGATAGCCCTGAAATGGAAATGCCCTCCATGCCGATCGGATGAACGGATAAATGTGCCGTGTGAGGTCCAGATGATGGAAGAGTACCCCGCAGTAAGCCAGAATGAACCCAGATGCTCACCACAGCACGGATGAATCCCAGAAACGTTACGCCGAGTGAAACAAGCCAGGCAAAAGGGTACAGACCGGGTGACTCCATTTATGGAAAAGCTTTCTATTAGCAATCCGTACTGATCGAAATTGGTTCAGAGGCTGCCTGTGGCCAGGCGGCGGGGTGGGACCCGTGGAAACTCGAGTGTGCCAGAATATTCTTTATCGTAACTGTGGTGGTGCTGCTGAACTCGATGTATGCGTTTGTGAAAACTGTCCAACCGTGTGCGTGAAGGAGTTAATTTTTGTGGCATAGAAGTTACACCCCAACACCGAATTGTGAACAGCGATGCTGTGATCTTCCGGCAGTTAGCGTCACACGCTTTTCAGTTTGGAGCAGGTGCTTAAGAGATCGCGTCGTCCACCCCGACGGATGGATGGGGGAGCAGGCCCAGAGACACACGGTGGCTTGACCGTTCTCGTTCTCGAATGCCCAGAACGCGAGACCAGCTTTTCTTACTTCCCTCTCTCATTCTGGGCAGTAATCATGCCGTAGGGGGTTCCAGAAAACCCATGGTGCGTCCTTTCTTGCACCTCTGTCCTCTGCTTCCTGACACCCCCGGGACCTTTTCCTTTGAGAGGGGAGCCTTTGTTTGCATCATTGTCTGCAGCGTTCCGGTCGACAAGATGGCGCACCGTGGCAGCGCACAAATACGTAGGCGGGGGTCCCGTCTGGATTTCAGGGCCAGGGTGGCCAGGGTGACTGAGCTTGGTGCCTGGGCTCCCGGACAGCCTGCGGCAGCCGGAGCTGTTCTGTTCTGTGCCCTTGGTGGTTGGGGCCCTGCCCTGCGGGGGCGGGGGGGGGTGGTACGGGACGTGGGCGGCTCTGGGCGGGAGTCCTTGGTGAGCCTGCCCTTCCTTGTGTCTCCTAGGACTATGCCCAGGCAAGGTTCGATGCCTATTTCGACCAGAAGAGGAAGCTTGGGGTGTGAGTGTGGGAGGCGCCAGCGGCTCCATCCCTGGACCGTGCAGGGGCGGCCGAGCCAGAGGGGGCCCTCGGTGCTCCGACTGCCGTACCTGCGGCACGAAGGCTCGGATGTCTCGCTGCCCAACACAGATGTGTATGATACGAAAGACTGTATTAAAACCGAGTAACATTTATTTCATATCTTGTTTACGATTTCACTAGGACTCTGCGATGAGATGGGAAGCAGAAATATAGTGCAATAGTGCAATATCTCAGAATCCTTTTAATGTAGGCAAGGCATCTTGTGTCCGCGGCCTGAAGTTTTCAGTCAGATATGGCAGACAGCAAGAGTGAACCGTGTTTCTGCGGGTACTTTTTTTGGTTAACGTTGGTTTTTTCAAGGATGTGAATGAACGGCTCTGAGCACGGCAGCCAGGCTCTCTGGGGTAGCGAACGACGTGTGTAGACGCCGCTCGCTCCCGAGGGTGGCCCGTCAGCCGGGCCGGACTGTGACGTCGCTCTGCGGCCCGGCCGCGAGTCTCCGAAGCTGCTCCTTCACCTTCTGGTCCACGTGGCGGATGCACGAGACCGCAGACGGCTCGGGAGGGGGGTGAGCCGTTGTCTGCGTCCCGTGACCGTAGCCCCCGGGGACCCGTCAGGCCGGCGCGTCGCCCCCTAACCGGGCGCTTCCCCCGCCCCGCTCTCCTCCGTAACTGAACGTGCTTCTCTAGCCCCGGCTTCGGGGCGGGCAGGCGGCTGTGGCCCACACAGAGCCCGCGGCCGGCCGAGGAGCAGCGTGGGGTCCTGGGGACACACACGCCTCCCGGCCGCCTTCCCCGTGGAAAGCGGGGTTGGCCCGAACGCCTGCAGCTTTTCTCTTCCTCCTCTGCCTCTGCTCGGGGATCCTGTGACCGGGCTGGCTGCCCTGGCATCGTCCTGCCCGGGGGCTCCCTCTGCTGGGGGCCGTGGGGCGCCGGAGGCCCGGCTTTGGCCCTCGGCCAGGTGCCCCCGCCCTCGCTGCCCCCCGCGTCCCTGACGGATCGCTCTGGTGGGAAAGAGCAGCCAGTATACGGAATGTGGGGGTGTGGATGCAGTAGGCCTGTGACACCCATATATATTAAATGTCCTTTGGGATGATTTTTTTTTACTCTGAACTCTTATTGGAATTGTTATTTTGTGCATACGTTTCTGCTACCAGAGATTGTACTATACAAACAATAAAAGCATACAAACCGATCCTCACTGTCACTCTTGGGTGTGTCCTAAGTGTCAGGCAAGGCTCCCAACCCACCCCCATCCCCGTAAAGACCCCTAGAAGGATGTAGAAACTGGAAGCAATGGTATATCCCGGAGGAAACTGAACGGGTTGCCTTGGCCAAGGCAGGAGGGACATTTTCCACTATTCACCCTTCTAGACATTTAAAATTTTAACCAGGTGAATGTGTTTTGGTATCTGAGCAGTAAACGGTCCCTCACGCCTGCGTAAGCTCTCACCCAAGAGCGATGCTCCCCCCCTCCTTCCTGTGCCCACCCAGGCTTTGCCCTGTGGCCCCGCCACCCACACCCTCCCCACCGCGTCTGGGGATTCCGAGCAGGGCAGTCCTGGACCCAGGGGACGGGCTCCTCCCAGCAGCTGGCCAGATGAGCGCCAGGCCGCCCGGCTTGCTGTGCCCAGGGCCTTGCTGGCCTCAAAGCGGCCTTTGTTCCCGGGGCCTCCTGCCGGAAGAACCACTTTGCAGCTCTTCGGCCCGAGCAGGCAAGGCCTCTGAGAAGCACTGGTGCTGCCTTCTAGCCGGTGGGGGGACCCAGGCCAGAAAGACATGTGAAATGCCATCATCCACCCCACCAGCCGGAGGATGGCCTCAGGGGAACAGGACCGGTCACCCAGGGAGGGATGGGAGAGACCACAACCTCCCCTGAAGGGGCGGTGGGGCCTGGAGGCCAGTTCAGCCTCACCCGCGGGGCCCTGGACAGCCTCTGCCCTTCTCTGCAGGACGGTGGTGTGTGTACGTATGTAATCACTGCCCCGTGTGGAGTGCGTGCGTGCGTGCGTGCGTCCTCGCTTTGGACCATCGTGAATGCCTGGGGTGGGGCTGGCACCAGGGCGTGGAAGTATTGGCCCATCTGTGCCAGACATCACCCTTCATGCCCAGAGCATCCGGAATGTTCTCTTAACAGCCAGTTTGCGCATCCCGTGGATGAGGAGCTCACTCCCCACCAGCTCAGCCTGGTAAGACACTCATTCGGAACTAGAATGTGCTGGAAACGTCTCTCCTGGGTCCTAGTTCTGCCCCTACTTCACCCCAAGGCTCTGGGATTACTGCACATGCGCCGTGGGGCCTCTCCCCAACTTCTCAAGGCTCTAGATCCCACACCAGGGCCTCCCACCCCGCCGTACCCTGCACCAACCTCAGCTGCAAAGGAGGGGACGAGGGAGACGAGCATAAAGCAGGGTGCGGGGCCCACGACACCGGGAGTCCCGTGGGGGTGGGACCGGCGCATGCCCAGAGCCCGGCCCTGCCTGCCCAGCCCCCGGCACCGCAGACAGGACTGACACGCAGTTCCCAGTCCTACATCTTTATTTCTTGTCTCCGGAGCTAAGGGCAGGGACCGGGGTGCGGCCACAGACACTAGCCCTCCTCTGAAGCAAAGGTGAAGGGGCTCAGCTTGTAGCCAGTGCCTGAGTAGAACTTGTTCTGAAACTCCACCCTGGGGGTGAGCAGGGGAGAGCCGGTGAGGGGAAGGCCCTGGCCCTCGCGCTGCGCCCCCCCACCCCCCACCCCCCACCCCGGGCCGGCCAGGCGGGCCGCTCACCAGTGCAGCCGCAGCGCGTGCAGGAAGGCCGAGAGCCCCTCCATCACCAGCAGGATAGCCACGGTCAACACGGCGAAGGCGGCAAAGACGGGGACCAGCGCCACGGCTGCCACGCCCAACTTGCGGCCCAGGCCCAGGCCCGAGCGCATCACCATGGCCCACAGGACCTCCGACAGCTCTGGGGGGTCGGGGAGGCAGCAGTGGAGGCCAGGGCCAAGGGGGTGCCCGCCCAGCCCCCCCACGGCAGCCCACCTTCCTGTGGAGCCGGTGGGGGATCTCCTCCAACATCCTCCCTTTACAGAGGGGACACCGAGGCCCGGAGAAGTGACCCGCCCAGGCCCAGGCCACCCAGCCAGCAGCTCTGAGCGTCAGAGGCAGCCAGGACTCGAGCTGCGGCCGGCCAGCCCTCCCTCCGCGACCGGGTCACTCACGGGCGTGGGCCAAGCTCAAGGCCCAGAGGCGCAGGTAAGAGGCCGTGTTGGAGATGCAGCCCAGGCAGAACTCGATGGTGTGGATGGCCTGGTGCATCAACACCTCGGACAGGACAAACTGAGGGGCGGGCAGCTGTGAGGGGCGGGCCGGGCGGCGGCCGGCACCCCACACGCACACCCGGGGAGACCACACCCACCTCGGCCTCCTCTCCGTCCTCCGGGCACCCCGCTTTCTCCTCATCAGGGCCCCAGCCGGCCACAGATGCATCGGAGGAGTCCAGAATCCCGGACTTGTCCTCATTCTGGGGGTGGGGAGCAGGTGGCATGAGCAGGGACGGGGCCGGGCCGCCGCCTACTCGCAGCCCCGAGGAGGCCGGGGTGGGGTCAAACCTCCTGGCAACACCCCCCGCCCCCCCGCCCCCCCTACCGGCTGTCGGCCAGCGGGCCCCCTCTGCGAGCGGCTGCGGTGCCGCCAGTGCAGGAACAGCGGGGTGCCGAGCAGCAGGACGGGCACCATGACCAGGGCCAGGATCACCAGTGCTGACTGCACCGCTTCCTGCGGGGGGAGGGGGTCCCAGTCACCGGCCCTCTCTGAGCCGCGCCGCGCACCCAGCCCGGGCCCAGAGAGCCTGCGGCCGGCCCCTCCCCCGGGGACGTGGCTCCGCAAGGAGTCCTCGGAGGGGGGAAGCTTCCAGCACCCACTGCGCCCGCCCTCCTTCCACCTCCCCGGCTCCCCGGCGGAGGGAGGTCTGACTCGCGTCCCCGATTCTCAGATGAGGCTCCGAGTGGCCCCGTAGTGGGTGTGGGCCGGCACCCCCGCGCCTGCACACCTGCCCGTGGAAGAGGGGCTGGTTGGTGGGGCTGCGGGAGAAGAGGAACATGTTGATGAAGTGGATGAGGATGCTGGGGGCCGAGGCAGCCCTGGCGGCGTAATCTTGCAGCCACTTGTAGACGACGAGGAAGACCAGGTAGCCGAACAGCCCCAGCAGGAAGACCAGCTCCGGCAGGGTCTCTAGGAGCAGCCGGTGCCACTGGCCGAAGTGCCTGCGCCGGGAGAAGGGCGGGGTCGCCGGGTCACCCACCGGGCCGCCCCGGCCCCGCCTGCCCCGGTGTCCCCCGGAGCCCGGGCCCTCACACGTGGTTGAAGACTCCCAGGACCACCCCGAAGGTCATGTGGGTGACCCCTAGGATGACGGACATCTTCATCTTGAAGGAGTTGAGGAAGCTCAGGTGGTTGACGGCCAGGCTCCAGATCTGGGGTGGCAGGAGGGACGGGTGTCATGCGGGGGTGGGGGGGGCTCCCCGCCCGAGTCCCTCAGCAGCCCGTCTGCCCCCGTGGGGCCTCGGCACGTCTGTGGCCCACCTGCCCGCTGTGGGGCAGCAGAGGGGAATGGCCCAGACCCCAGCTCTTCCTAGCTAGGGGACACTGAGCCTGTGATCTCCTGTGCCTCTGCTTCCTCATCTGTGAAATGGGGACGGTGCTGACAGGGTTGTCTAAGTATCCCATCACATCACATCACATCACATCAAGGGCACGGAACGGTGCCCGGCGCAGCAGGCCAAGGACAAGCCGAGGGCCGCCCTTACTACCATACGCTTCTCCGCTTTCTGAAGCGAGGGGGGCCCCCTCGTCCTTCCGGACCCCCGCACCTCCTGTACCCGGCACCAGGCCCGGCACTCGGGAGGGGCTTGGCGAGCACGGCTGAAGGGCGGGGGCGGGGGGTTAGGGTTAACGTCAGGGTCAAGGTTGGGTCAGGGTTAGCGGAGGAGCCCCGGCCTGCCCTCCCACCTGCCCGCACCCCCCCCCCCCCCCCCCCGCAGCAAGTGGCAGGGACTCACGGGGTCGATGCCGAAGGGGTAGGGTCCCAGGAAGACGCCGCTGACGTTGGGGTCCAGGGTG